GGCTGCTTCTGTGTACACCATCCCAGATAGCTTCCTGTGTTAGTGTTAGACCCACTGTTTCCACCTGCCTCCAGGACTGCTGCAGATTTCATCATTTAAGCGAATAATCTCAGCGTATAATCTCACTTCTTTTTTTTTTTTTTTTTAAGATTTTATTTATTTGTCAGAGAGAGAGAGGGAGAGAGAGCAAGCACAGGCAGACAGAATGGCAGGCAGAGGCAGAGGGAGAAGCAGGCTCCCTGCCGAGCAAGGAGCCCGATGCGGGACTCGATCCCAGGACGCTGGGATCATGACCTGAGCCGAAGGCAGCTGCTTAACCAACTGAGCCACCCAGGCGTCCCATAATCTCACTTCTTTAATGGTTCCACAAGCTTCTCAGTGCCACTACGGAGAGTAGTATAACTTGACAAATGTCAATCATCTTTCATCTCCTACTAAGCTCTTGGCACAGCCTTAGAGCTTCACTCACCCAGAGTGTGGTCAGCAGTGACATGATGAGGAACTTGCTAAAAAGCAGAATCTTGGGCCTCACCCAACTTTCTTACAAGAATGATTCAGATACACATCAGAAGTTTGAGAAGTGCTGGTTAGGTGCTTTAATGAACTGAATTTCTCACCTCCCAAGACACATTCTACCCTTTCAGATCTCCATGCCTTTGCAAAACCTGTATCATCTGCTATATGTGTCCTATCAAAATTTGCACCTTGCGAAGTTCTATACTACTGTAAGGGTACCTAGCACAGCACAGAACATAGTAAGCAATAAATACCTGAATGACTAAATCATGTAATCAATTAATTAATGAATGAATTTGGCTCCACACATGCAGGATCTGAGGTACTAAAGTGCATTCAGATGAATGTGAATGTTAGGCAGTTGGAAATAGTGGCGAAGGATTCAAAGGAGAGGTGGGCTGAGCTGGCACTACTTTTAAGTCACGAGCAACTATTTGGAGGTTATAGTAATGGATAAATGAGGCCATTACATTTAAGATTGAGAGAAGAAAACTATGGGACAAATCATAGGGAAGGCTGGTATTTAAGGGACCTACTATGAATTTGATGAAGAGCGGGTTAGCAGGGTGGGAAAGAACCAAAACAGGTACCAAGAAGTTCCAAAAAAATAAATGTATTTGCCAAACGGTTACTGTTCTCTCTGGCAACTGAAGTGGAATAGAACAATTAGATCAAAGATAAAGCAAAAGCTTAGAACTTCTTTAGACTAACAACTGAATGAGACAAGGCAACTAGAATGACCACTACCAAGGACCTTCTTTATTTGATGAGAAGGGAGAGAGAGCTGGAACTGATGAGAGCTACAGCATATACACGGGCCTAGTGATTAAAAAGGCTGCAAACCTTCAGTCATAAGACATTTGCCGAACATTTGCTCTCTGCCACATACCATAAGCTAACACTGGGACTATAATAAGAACACAAGTAATGCCCCTCAATGCCCCTCGTGCAATGAGATAAACTGAGTAACTGATGGACACCCCACAACAAACAGGGTAAGAAGCCATTGTAAAGTGGCTTGCCTTGGGGGCACCTGGGTGGCTCAGTGGGTTAAAGCCTCTGCCTTTGGCTCAGGTCATGATCCCAGGGACCTCGGATCGAGGCTCACATCGGGCTCTCTGCTAGGCAGGGAGCCTGCTTCCTCCTCTCTCTCTGCCTGCCTCTCTGCCTAATTGTGATCTTTGTCTGTCAAATAAAGAAATAAAAAATCTTAAAAAAAAAAAAAAAGTGGCTTGCCTTGGAAGAGGGGCAACTTTTTTTTAGGTGGTTGGTATAATGGAAAAAATGTAGACAGTAAGAGAGGTATATGGAGGGGATCAAGTTCACATTTAATCTTCATATTCTTTTATGCAAAGGAAGACTCCAGGCAAGCAAAATGATAAAACATTTCACTCTGCTCCGTAATGACTCTGAGATGGTAGGAACCCTATTCTTGACACACAAAGCAACTGAGGCACACAGAAAGGACAGAGGCCTGCAGCCATCAAATGGCTAACAAGTGGTGGGAAGACAAGTACTTTTTTTTTTTTTTTAAGATTTTATTTATTTATTTGATAGACAGAGATTCCAACTAGTCAGAGAGGCAGGCAGGGAGAGAGAGGAGGAAGCAGGCTCCCAGCTGAGCAGAGAGCCTGGTGTGGGGCTCGATCCCAGGACCCTGGGATCATGACCTGAGCTGAAGGCAGAGGCTAGCTTCACTCATGGTGACAGTGTGTGAGAAACAACAGCACCCCAAACTTTAACAAGATCCTCAGGTGATGCTGGTGCTGATACACGGGCCACATGAGTTTGTAACACCCGCCTAAGCCCTGGTTCCTTGTGTTACTGTAATAGTGTCTGAGAGCATGAACTAAGATTAAGAAAATAAAGGGCTAAAATGAAAGTCTTCAGTATTTGGCACATAGTCAAACCAACAGCAGGTTATTACTACGTGACAGATAACCAGTGATAGAAATTAAGGAGGTCAATTAGAGGTAATCAAAGAGGAAAATGGCTGTTTTAGAGGCAAAAATAGCAAGTGGTTAAGGAGGAAATCTGTGACCTTAGCAAATTAAGTTATATAACTACTCTGTGCCTCAGTTTCCTCACATGTGCAACAGGGATCATTACAATACATACCCTCCAGGATTGCTAGGTAGATGGAGTATATATAAAGCCCTTAACAGTGCCCTGGCATTTAATAACTGTTCAATCAAGGCTCTAATATTACTACCATTGCTACAGCTGTTCTACTACAGCCACTTTTGCTACTGGTAGTGTGACTTGATACTGACTGGACAGGTAATAAAATACATCAAAAGGACTTCCACTAACAACCAGAATATATGACAAAACTCTTCACAACCCATATGGAAACAGATCTAGAGAAAAAATAGCACTGCAATTTTTAATATGTAAGCCTCCTCCACTTTGTTTTGCCAAATGTAGAAGCCGATCATGTTACCACTCAAATCAAACTCATAGGAATGAATGCCTAAAATGGCAAGAGTTATCTGAAGAAATACTCAAAGCCATAGATCAATTACATAGCTTTTTGAGTTGTTCCCTAGGCTGGAAAACTGTACCTAAAAATAGTACAACAGTGCTTTCATGAGAAGTTCACTATCCTAGTATACCGTTTATGAGTAGAATGACTCTATCAAAAATATCCTGTTGAGATTGTTCCTAACAAAGTGAGATGTCCAGAAAAAAGTGAAATCCATACAATTATCTGGACATCCCCGGGGTGCGGGATGGCATTGGGTGGGGGGTGATCCTCTACACAGTTTATGTTATTCCACTTTTCTGCTCTAGATGTAGCTTAAAATATTTTTCCCAGAGGGAACATGCGTAACCCACTTCAACTTCAGTTTAGTCTTTGACAAAACAAAGGTGGGAATGTACCATGTAAACTGGTTACTGACCCTTCGTCCTTTCCAGAAGCATTACTTTGGAAATTTCACCCAAGTCTAAATGGTATGTATCAAAAAGGTGGAGGTGGAGGTGGTGCTATATACCGAAGATTAGACTTGTTAATAGAATGTTGATCCCATGAGTAATGCTGACAGATGTGGCATCCAACAATGGAATTAACATTTCAACAGGAAGCAGAGAGCCATCCCAACAAAAAGGGCCACCCGCTCCTTTCCAACACTTAAAAAAAAAAAAAAAAGTCCTTCCAGAGACTACACAAAGTGTGCCTCCTGAGGGTCGCACCGTTGGATTTTCAAAAATTAGCCATTTGGTTCTAACCGTGACATATGCCTACCCTGACAAACAAGATCAGTTAGTTAAAACACTGCCATAAAAACTGATCAGTTTTTTAAAGCGTCAAATGATTATGCCTTCTAATGGTCCACACATTTTTTAAATGCCTTTTTTTCCCCTCCTGAGAGAGGCGCAGTCAAAAAATGTACTGGGCGAATCCTTCAGGAATTGCCCTGTATAAGTCATCCCCTCTTATCTTCAAGATGAATTAACTCATCATAAACGCAAACCGAGCTTATTTCCTCTTTGCACTTTGCTCCGGGACTGCAGAAATTATATGACTGCATTTTTGCAGGAACCTAGTTTGGATTTCCAACCGTCTACTTCGTCGAGCTACCGTCTAGTTAACAGCTCGTGCTTGGACTCGCCTCTTCCGAGATGGAAGAATGCTCAAGCTACTACTGTTCGTCTCGTGCTTGGGCTCGCCTCTTCTACGAGACCAAGAATGCTCAAGCTACTGTTCCTTCAGCGCCTCTTTCCTAGAGATCGCTTGGACGCACGGCGGCACTGAAAAGCTCAGTGTCTATTTAATCATGGCGTTTGAAATTCAGCCTCCCCGCCTGGACTGCTCAACACCTGGAAACTCGCAGCCCTAGGCTTCTGAAATCGAGTAACCCCGCGCGGACACGACACGAGCTAACAAGAGAAAGGGCAAGAGCAAATAAAGCAAAGCTCGCACCCGCAGCAAAGAATGGTCTGGGAAAGACGCCAGGCGCACCCGGCACGCCGCGCCCACCCACCCGCGCCCGGGGAGCCCCTCCACCGCCGCCCCCATCTCGGGGATCGGTCCCTACTACCCCCAGCTCCCCCTGCCCCCGCACCTCACGCCCCCGCACGGCTCCATTCCGAGCCGTTCCACCTTCCCGGCTCGCACGCGCGGCTCCGCAAAACCACCCCGGTGCAATACCGCCCGCACAGCCACCACTGCCACAGCGCCCCCAAATCGCACCCGTCCCCTCCCCCACGCCTCATTGTTCCCGGGTGGCCGCAGGCAGAGAGCGCCCCAGGGCGGTGCCGGCAATAGGAACCCTTGGAACAAAATTGCCCCCTACTCACCCGCGACTCCGCACAAGAGGACCAAGCGCAGCAGAAGCGCCATGGTTGCGGCCCGGCCGTGGGCGGTGACTGAAGGTAGGCGGCTCTCACCCGGGGTCTCAGTCAGCCGGTGCCTGCGCGCTCCCGAGTGGCTGGCGGCGGCGGCACCTCAGCACCCCCGTCCCACCCCACCCTCGCTTGGCAGGTGAAACACGTCACTTCCGGTAGTGACTGAGCCCCGCGGCGCGCGCCGGCTCCGCCAGGAGCGTGGGGTTGCCACGGCAACCAGCGCGGACTGCCCTAGGGATCCTCCGGAGTAGGAAGCTCCCGCGCCAGCTGCGCTCCGCGTTGGGGTGAGCGGACAGCCCTTCGCCCCAAGCAAGAGCCAGGGTCCCTACTTCAGCGTCTTCAGTCAAATCGGGGTTTGTGCACTAGGGTCGGGCCAGCCCCTCTCCCCAAACAACTGACACCGCGGTCGCGCCCTTGCTCCGGGGTGCGGCACAGGACAATACTAGCCCGCCTGCCCTGGGATCCTGAAGCGCGGCGAATATGGTTGGGACTGGCGAGCACTCACCCGGCTCTCCCCTCGCGGTAGTAGAGAATGCGGGCGGGGGAATGGGTGGTTAGTTTCCAGCCAAGCGTCCCACCTTCGGCGGTTTGCTGCGAGGTGTCCCACCTAAGGCTCTGGGGAAAGCGAACTGATCAGCGCCTCCTCCGCTCCATGCCCCCCGCCCCCCCCGCTCCACCCCCCTCCCCCCACCCCGCATTTCCTCCCTTTTCATTAAGTCGGTGGGCTGCCGTGGAAGGCTCCAGAAGGTTTTTCCCCATCACCAGTAATGACTGAACCCCCAGACTGCAGCTTCGGATTTGGGAAATGCCTGGGCTGGCTTTTTGACCCTTTGTATTCAAAGGTTATTCCCGCCCTAAAATTGGCCATCAAGGACCAGTGAGCTTTAAAAGTGGGGTTTAGGGGTGATTGAAGGCTGGAAGAGGTGTTGGGAGGACCTGGAAGTTAGAGATTTGGGATCGCCCGATCAGCCTACAGTGTCACTTCCTGGTATCCTCCATACTCGTTCTTGTGTCATTTGCATTCTTGGTCGCTCTTTGCAGATAACATTTATTTATAACTGCTGATAGACTTTGGTGTTCTCGACAGTTCCATATCAGGAGTGAATTAGAGGAGAGAAGCAGTGTGGTGCAGTGGGTAAGTTCTTGGGTCCCAGAACTGGGCAAGTAATTTGGAAATACACCTTGCTATGAAAACTAGAGATAATGCACAAAAGAATGTTTGGCACTGTGCCTGGCACATAGTAAATACTCAGTTGAGTGGTAGCTAATAAAAGAGTGTTACTGGGAATATTCTTATTATTTATTGAACCAGCAAAGGAAAGTAAATCGGTTATTAGTAAGACCAAAGTCTCTCAACTGAAATTTATCCTGGTGGTCTGCTATCCTGACCGCACCTTAAAATTACCTAGAGGGGTGCCTTGTTGGCTCAGTCAGTGGAGGGTCGGACTGTTGATATCTGGGTGGGAGTTTGAGCCCCATCTTGGGTATAAAGATTACTTAAAATCTTTCTAAAAAATTAAAACTATCTAGAGGACTTTTGCAAAATATCAGTATCTGAACCCCCACTCCAGGAATCCTGATTTAACTTGTCTCCAATGGAATCCTGACTGATCTAAGGAGGGTCCAGAGTAATGCTAGGTATTTCCTATTAAGGAAACAAAAATTCTCCTGGATATAACTGAAGGTATAAAATATTTAGAACTTAAATTTTTACTCAACACATTATACTTCATGAAATTAGACAAAAGTAAGTATTAAAGTTATTCATATGTATTTTAGACTGTTACATAATATTTTTCTACTATTAATCACTTAAAAGCAGCACACATTTATTGTGTCTCCTCTAGGAGAAATTAAACTCAACCTTCATGGGCTATCTCAACCACTTACTAGAGGAAATCTTTTGAAATTATTCAAAAGGATTTTTATCTTAATCCCTTTGCTTGTAGTCCTTTTTTTTTTTTTTTTTTTTTTTGCAATCCTTAGCTTTTGCTTCCTTCTGTGGTAGGCATTTTCATACCTATCAATCACTTACCTTACTCTCAATATTTCTGGAAGGCCAAAAAGGCACATTATGGATCTTCGTTACTCTTGGAAACCAACTTTAGTAGGTTCTCTAGTATTTGTTGAACTGAATGTATTCAATTCATATGTTGATATATTGACATATTACTAAAAGCATTTAATATGTATACAATAACAAATCATTGCATCTTGGTATATCTCTTTAGGATATACTTTTAAAAATGTAAATTTTAGGGCGCCTGGGTGGCTCAGTGGGTTAAGCCTCTGCCTTCGGCTCAGGTCATGATCTCAGGATCCTGGGATCGAGGCCCACATCGGGCTCTCTGCTCAGCGGGGGCCTGCTTCCTCCTCTTTCTCTCTATGCCTGCCTCTCTGCATACTTGTGATCTCTCTCTCTCTCTGTTTCAAATAAATAAATAAGTAAAATCTTTAAAAAAAATGTAAATTTTACAAAATTAATGTTTTATACTTCATTAGATTACCGAACACAAATTTTTCCAACTGTATCATCTCCAAGATTTAAGTAACTTTGAAAGGAGCAATTTATCTTCTTCAGGAAAGTAATTCTTTGTACAATTATATTAAAGTTAGATTTTGGTTTATTAAAGCTGGGGGGAAAAAGGAAAAAAAATAAATGGAGTCATCTTTAGATTTTGGTTTGTAACTACATTATTTCGTATAAACAGCAGCTAAAATTATGCAAATTTCTGAAACTCCTTAATGATACTTAAAAAGCCTTTGTGACTATAGTTAGCTTGGAAATTAAGTCTCCTGAAAGCTGTAATGAAATAATCCCATTAATTCTGGATCCTGCAAATTGATTGATATTTTCAAACCAAGCTAACAGTAGTACACAGCCTTTAAATGAATTGTCCTATCTTAGTAAAGCACCAAGCACTCCACATTGTATAGCTTCTAAACCAGCAGAAAGGTGATTCTTGGTCTGTCAGGAAGGTGATACTCTTAGAGACACAAACAACAATGGTTAATATAGCATTTGTTTTTGCAAGGATTTCTCAGCAGTAATGGATTTGTTAATACACTAAGAGATGATTAAAATCTTGTGATCACATTCAGAGATTGACTTATTCTCAAGAATTCTTAAAAATTAAAGGATTTTTACCTCTTCACAGCATGGCATATAAAGGCATGTAAAGCAGGAAACTTTTTTTCATAGGTGACGCTGCTGATTTTTATACTTTCTGGAAAATGATAATGCTGTTCTTAAGAAATGACAGTTTCTGGGGTGCCTGCCTGGCCTAGTAAGCAGAGCATGTGACTCTTGATCTCAGGGTCATGAGTTCAAGCCCCATGTTGGGCAGGGAGCCTACTTAAAAGTAAGGGAAGGGAAGAAGAAGGTTTCTCACAATGTATTCTACTTACAATACCAAGAGCATGGGTTTCATGTGTTAATACCATCGAAGTCATCTATTTACCCCTCTGTAAATGAATTTATAAGTACTTTAGTTTTATGCCATGTATATAATATTTAGAATCAACTCTCAGGCAGTGACCTAGAATTTTTTTAGATTCCTAATATTATAGGATTTTTTTCTCCGCCAGTGCCCATGGTTCTTGGTCACGCCACTTTGAAGAATGAAGAGGTAGACCAGAAAGAATGGTGGGCAGCAAAGCAAGGTTTACTGAGTGATAGTAAAGTGGTAGTACAAGGCTCCCAAGGAAGGAGGGGACTGGAGAGGGTTACCATCGGGGTTCTGTATCTAGGGAATTTTATGGGTTTGTTGGAGGGCTGTTTTAATCTAACCCTTCCTTTGCCTGTCATCCAATCAGGTTTTTGTCATCTATCACATGGAATAGGTTGGAGGGCACCTTCCAGGGTGGTGTAAAAGTCTTTTAAGGGTGGCTTCGTCTTGGTTGTGGGGGTGGCACTTTGTCCCTGTCTGCCTTCCTTCCAATTATCCTTTATTGCTAATAATGTGATTCCAGAATGAATACACAAAAGTGATAAGTTTAGGGGTGCTTGGCTGGCTCAGTCAGTGGAATTGGCGACTTGCTCTCAGCATTGTGGGTTCAGTCCCCACATTGCGTGTAGAAATGACTTAAAAATAAAATCTTAGGGGCGCCTGGGTGGCTCATGGTTTAGCCTCTGCCTTGGGCTCAGGTCATGATCTAAAGGTCCTGGGATCAAGCCAGGCACCAGGCTCTGCTCAGCGGGGAGCCTGCTTCCCCCTCTCTCTGCCTGCCTCTCTACCTACTTGTGATCTCTCTCTTTCAAATAAATAAAATCTTAAAAAAAATAAATAAAATCTTTTAAAAAATGAATAGTTTATACAGGCCAAAACTGAAGATTTTATTGATGGCCTTTAGCTTTTTTATCCAAGAGCAGTCTCTATTTGTTCTGATTGTTTCTTTGTTTTCATCTCTGTCACTTCATACTATTTGCTTTCCTCTGATTTCTGCTAGTTCGTTGTTTTCTGCTCAAAGGTTAAAACTGGGCTGAGAAAAAGAAGCATATTGAAAGTTCTGGGCTTGCTGGTGATTGGGTCAGTCACAGGCGATCACCAGTATAATTGCTTTTCTTTTTAGAGATTTTGAGAGTGAGAGAGGTCATGAGTGTGCACAAGTGGTTGCGGGGCAGAAGAAGGGGGAGAAGCAGACTCCTTGCCGAGCAGGGAGCCTTTTGCAGGGCGTGATCCTAGGACCCTGAGATTATGACCTGAGCCTAAGTCAGACACTTAACTGCCTGAGACACCCAGGCGCCCCTACTTCTAGAAACAAACAAACCAACCAACCAACCTGCTATCTAGCACTTGAGAGTAAACACATGGTGGGCCAGCTTTTTTTCTTTTCTTTTTTTTTTTAAACATTTTTTTTAAGATTTTATTTATTTATTTGACAGACAGAGATCACAAGTAGGCAGAGAGGCAGGCCCAGAGAAAGGGGGGAGCAGGCTCCCTGCTGAGCAGAGAACCCAATGTGGGGCTCCATCCCAGAACCCTGGGATCATGACCTGAGCAGAAGGCAGAGGCTTTAACCCACTGAGCCACCCAGGCGCCCCCTTTTTCTCTTTTTTCATTAAAACTGGCCCCAGGCCCAAGGTGAGGCTTCATCTCACAACTCTGAGATCCAGAGTCGCATGCCCTACTCGCTGATCCCGCTAGGCACCTCTGGGCCAGCTTTCTGGAAGGATGACTGGAATAGCACAGAGGGCCATCAGCTTTCATATATAACTACAGTTTAGTATATCTGTTTGATAACCCCCGTCCAAAGATCCATTTTTACTCACCCAGTCTTAGGCCAGCTAGCAGAAGGGGTGAAGGTGGGAATCTCAGTTTTTAACTTTTTCTTAAACTAACTTTGAACCAATCACCCTGTTTTGGTTCCCCTCATCCATTCTCAGATATGCCTGATGCTATCAAACCCTGATTTATTTATTTGAGAGAGTGAGTGACTGCTTATGCGAGCCAGGGGAGTGGCAGAGGCAGAGGCAGAATTCCAAGCTCATTTCTGGCTTTGTGCAGAGTTCCCCTAGGATTTGATCCCAGGACCCTGAGATCATGACCTGAGCTGAAACCAGTATTTAGTCATTCAGTCAACAAAGCCACCCAGGCATCCCTCATATTTTGTGTTTTGTTGTTTATACAGGTTCTTAACATTAGGTTTCCTTTTTCATGTTTTATGATTATTTTTTAATTGCAAGTGCATTTTGTGGAACTTTCTCTGTGTGAAGTATTTGAGACTTTTAAGTATTTTCCTTGAGAGACAGTTTGTATTAGCTTCTGCCAGGATCCAGGGGCACTACCAATACAGGAAGACTTTAAAAATAATTTTGGGGATTAAGTTCCCAAATGACACAGTTAATATAAATTTGGATCAGAAACCAGCATGAGAGGATACTAGTCATTATAAATGCTCAGAGGAGGCTCATCATTCTCAAATCTTCACTAGTCCTTTTAAATAAAACAACATTCCTGTGCTCTATAGATGGCGGGCTATATGAAGAAATCAAACCACGTCTTCCTGTGTTGATAGCCTCCCAGGGTTTTTCATTTAGCTTGCTCCGGGTCAGTTTGTTGAATCACTTGAAAAACATTCTATTTAGTTGCTTCTGCAGGATTCTCTACTGTCCGGGTGGAGTAAACAAATCCT